CGTCCAGGTAGGCAATAGGATACAGAAATGCCGTGTATAACGTCGAAACACAATTGGCCAGAGAGGGTCGTCTGTCACGTGAAAAACTTACCTCCGTAGTAAAGTGGATGTACACCACGGAACAAGTTGGCTTGACGAGCTGTAATCGCATGACGCGTGACAGTTAGAATTGGACAACGTGGTCGGTGTCTGGAGATCAACTGGCAGGATCTACAACGCAGGGATAGAGGAGGTAGAACGGGATATGAAAACTTTGAATCGGTGAACAAAAAGCACTCATTCATTATCATCATCATCAGCATCGTACAGTTAAATACAGTGAATGAAACTTTACTGAGCGCTACCAAATTCGCAATATACACAACGGAAGTAGAAATGTTCAAGGGCGGTGGTAGCCCGGTGGTAACGTCACCAAATTATCAACCCGGAAGACAAGTGTTCGAATCCCACCACCACCGTCTGTCTTTCCCCATTGAGTTGAATGGTAGCCCTTCGATTGGCCGCTTCCCCCTTCCATTGCATATTCAATAAAAAGAAGTAAAAGAAAAAAAGATTGTTGAGAAATGGGAATCTTCAGAGAGAAGAGAAAGAAAGATAAGCCTGTGGTCAACACCACGAACGCAGTAGAATTGTACAGACACACTTGGCTAAACACCTAATAACCGATGGCACGAAGCGTACTGCGGCCAGCTAGCCACCATGTTTTTTCTGTTTTATCAACCTTACAGTTACTGAGATCAGTGACTGGATCCCAGAATAGAAGACGACAGACACTTGTTGTACCTAATCACTCTGCGAATCTCGTCAACCTTCGTCGCTACGTCACTTGTTGACCTCCGCGTGATTTTTCACAGCCCGGTGCACAACTGTAAATAAGACGTGATGTGGTGGACGGCTGTTAGACATACGCCATACGTTACCTAACCAATGAAGCTTGCTCATTTCAATCTGATATGGTAATGACACACTGATACATGCGAAGGCACAGCTTGACGTTGGTAACTCGCTTGTTGTGCGCGAAACTACGTAAACATTGCTGAATGTCTTCCACACACAAAGTCGGAGTCTCACAAACGTGGTGCAAAACTGCGGTAGAATGCACACGAACTTTCAATCTCACTGAAACGTTACACTGTCGCTAAAGGTGTTTTAGTTTTGCTCAAGCCTACCAAATGTGTGCGGCTACCTCCTTCACTAAACCATCACCACCGATTATGATGCATTTGCCTAGATCGGAGAAACAGCCAACTTCAGCCGATTTTCGATCAAAGTAGGACTGGTCGACACTGAGTCTTGCAGTATCCCTTTGCACTTGCAAACCGTATACTGACAGAACCAATACGCATCGTTCAACTACTCGATTCCTGCGAATGAAATACACAAACAGCCCCAATGGGAGAAGGTGACAAACGTACCGACCGGATGTTGTAATAACAATAATCGCGGATGCATTGCACCGATTGGCAGCCTCGACAGCTGCCACGGCGGTAGTGTGAGCCATACCCACCGGACCAAGTAAGGATTCTTTCAAATCCTCAAACAGTTGGCCGTGGAATATGGCTGCCTCGGCTTGTAGACAGATACGATGCATTGTTTGCACAGTCTCCAACGGATACAAACCCTTAGCAGTTTCGCCTGTGGTAAATAAGAAAAATGGGATGAGATTAAACGCATAATTTGTGCGATGTTGATGTATTTAAATGCAAGCAGTTACATAACCGATGTCAATGCGTTATTATCGTTAACACACAATATAGGCGAACATGTTTTCGGTGAATTCCTTTTCAAACCTTCACAATCACATTTATATGAAACAATTTCAATAGGGTCAAACAGAAAGGTGGTTGAGTCATGTGTTTGGCAATGAGCCCGGGAGAAGTCCGAATTTGTGCGCTGTTTGGATCACGTAACTAAATTCGCTATGTTACGTCATGGTTATGTGAACAAGCGATTTTTCCTTCCCTTGGCCAGGGGAGTTTGAGAGCGGACAGCCCAGGCTTCATGCGTCGGAAGCTAGCGTCCGAAACCGTATTGCTCTCGGGGTGTGGTGAGACTCGATAGATGATTGTAAATGCCGAGCGCAAGTGTACCGTCTCGACCAGACGAGCAACGATCGAGCTTGACACAGCTCCATTCCTTCTGCGTGAGTCAGTGTGGATAGTGTTCTTTTATCCGTGATTCGTTATTATTATTATTATTACTAAACAACATAATTTGAAACATTTAGATCTCGTTATGCATTTGGACAAGCGTCAGAAGATAAACACTGTGAGAGGAATTCCTTTTCTATGCTTTCAAACAAATGAAGTGAATTAAAAAATCTAATTAGGTTTTATCGTGTGCGCATAATTTGGAAAGCGAGGTGAATAATCCGAGAAACAATCATCAAAGATCAGAATAGAACTAGTGAATTAATAGCCCCCCCCCCCACACACACACCTGAAATAGTGCTTCTAAAAGGGACAAGTAGAGGTATCAGTTTTACCTTCGCTCACATGCCCGATGACCTCTACTCATATTGCTACAATTAGAGCACAACGGTACTATAGTGACAATCAGCAATGGCCATAGCCAATGCTATATGATCAAAGGTCATAATCCAATTTGACCTCTCCGTCCCATTCACGTATTACCTGCCCGTCTGACCCAGAAACACTATCTGTCATTCAACACTCGACATCTACCGGTGATGAATCACTGTCCCCGCAAGACCATCCAACTTAAAGTACAATTGTTCCAACCAATTGACCGATCGACAGCTCGCCCACTCTCTCCCTGGACTTGCCTCACACATGGACAGAGGCGCGCAGCCGACTGTATTGCTCCACTTGAATCGACCTGTATTCTAAACCATTGAAACTAAACGTGGTTTGTAGCTGATAAGCTGATGACAGGAAAAGCTAATCATTCGTTCGTCAGCCAAAAAGGTCATATGTCTGTTTCCGCTTTCTTTCCATATTTCCACTCGGACCACATCGATATGGTCGTATATGCAAATGTAGAATTCTTGTAGATACAAGAAAGTGATTCCCGCTACATTACAATGCGGACAACGGGGGTTCTCATAATTCCTTATTGACAGAGGAAGACATTGTTTACTGGAATCCGAAACATGACAGTGTTCTAGTGTTCTTTCCGGTAGAACAGCGTTATACAATGCTGATTCATCAGGGTCGAATATAAGCGTTAGTTTAACCGAAAATTCTTCTACCTCCTCTACAGACCACAAATCTCAGCAACGACTGTCGAATTAGTAATTATTGGTTTCCATGTCCACATGCTACCCAAATTTTTCTTCCCAACAGTTAAGCCATCCTTTGATCCATCTGAACTAAAGTAGTGTGTGTATCTTCGCTAAACAGTATCATTTATATCGTGAAGATTTTGTTTAGTTGTGAAATGACATCTCTTTGCGTTGCATCAACACCCCGTACTTCCTTTGGTTATCCACTTTGTTCGATTTCACACCCCGTGCTATCTAATTCGAAACAGAGGTCTGTGCAGAATTCGATTTTGCTAAAATGTCTAAAATCATGGGCTTTTGACTGATAGATCACTTTTGATTCAATCTGAATCCCAAAACTGAGTGATGAATACCACCAATAAACCGGGCGCCTAATCATTTCACGTCAAAATTTGTACGCGCGGCACGAATTACCAACTAACCAAGTCGGTCACCCTTAATCCACTACTAAAGTAGCTTCATAGGGGCGTTCATTGATCAAACAAACATTGCACATAGGTGTAGGCCTGATGGCAATCAAGTGAAAGCGACAGCCCAGGTTTGTACACAATGATTACCACTGCTTCTGATGATTTGCACACAACCCAGATCCTACGTTCCCATTCTGTCATCCTACGCCCAGCTGAGGGTGACTAGGCTCTTAGGATGACGCTTGACTCATGTACTTTTGTGGATCCCGAAAGTCCGTCAGTCGAACACCACGATTCAGTTCAAGGTCACAGTTTATAAATCTAGCTAACCTTGTCGGATAGAAACACACGTGCTCCGCAGAGGGAACGTGGGTGCAGGCACGGTAGACACAGCGTCCAAAACATATTCCAGTAAGAACAATGATTGGAGTGGTGGAAGTCACATATGTTACCCTAATCAACTTAGGAATAACGGTGATTACTACAGGCATTCTACGAATGAGCGAGAATATAGCCAATTGAGACCTGCAAATCTCACTCACCGGAAAGCATAACACAGTCAGCTCCATCCAACACGGCATTGGCAACATCACTGGATTCCGCACGTGTTGGACGGGGCTTGGTTGTCATTGATTCCAACATCTGCGTGGCACAAATAATTGGTTTTCCAGCCTGATTGCATCGACCGATCATCATTTTCTGAGCAATGAAAACTTTCTCAGCTGGGATCTCGATCCCTAAATCACCACGCGCAACCATAATACCATCGACAACATCGAGGATTTCGTTGAATCTGGACAGAACACACAGAGAGAGAAAGGGGATAGGAACAACCAGGGGTTAACTGAAAACCCCGAACACTGGCGGATTTCGGAACACAAAAAGGTTACTTCAAATGTGTTTCCTTCTGCTTGATTCATGAGAGCAGATGCCTTTGACATACCATTTTGCATGAAGTCAAGAAAAATGTTAAAGAACAATGTAGTGGAAATCCCACTGACGATTTGAACCAGATCTAGTCTTTAGAACATAGTTTTAAACTACTACCATTCGCTATCAGAAATTGGTGAAAATTGATATATTGCCGGCGTAGTGTTGGCCGCTTCTCGGTTTCTAATGTGTACCCAATAAACGAAGATGCACAGGGAATGAACGTTGTGATTTGCTGATTATAGAGGCTGGACGAAGTATCGAATGTGTAACCACAATTTTGGTGCACATCTTATTACTTTTTTATTGCACACTAGTGTGTGATGCGATGAACAGCTGACGGAGTGGAAGCCATAGTTACGAAGATCTGCTATTCAGTGACGGTAATCGGCTACCTAAGTCCCGGGACTTGGAGTGGCGAACCACATAAGGCCTCGCTAGGATAGGCATGGTATAGAACCGGATGATAGTAAAGCTGCCTACCACATACTGTAGGAAGAAACGATGTGATCGTCAGTTCATAAGTGAAATAAACTGTATGAAGTTAACGATAGCATTGATTTTCTCCGCTGGGGTTCCAGGGATATCATTGGTAAGAACTCCAAGTGACATCCAAACAAGTACCGTGTATGTTGTGAAAGTCTATCGTGAACTCCGTGACTTACTTTCCAAACAAAGCATCAGCACAACATATATTTTAACAATGCGCAACACAAAACCAACCCTCTTATTTTTTGCCGCACATTCCAACACTCATCCACTCTATATTATACAGTGTTCATACCGTACAGACTGATATTTAAATGAAAATATACCTATGTTCAGATCTAACAAAAGTGGGTAAATAACTAAATGGTTCTGTGAATGTAGTCCATAATTTCTAGTTAAATAAAACTTTAAAATATCCTAAACATTTATTCCAAAATACATAACGAATAAATTCAAAAATAGTAGATCATACTAATTGAACCAGAGAAAAAAATTGAGACTCATCGGAGTCGTATTCATTGCTTCGCGACATCCCATAACGATGAATAGTACCGAGGTAAACGGTTTATAAGGATTCGTGTGAATCTTTGCAGAACCAGGTTACAGTAGGTCATCAGTATCATGCGGTTAAACGTTTCTGATGTAGAATATATAGTGACATTTAAAAGAAAACAGGCACTTCCCTTGCAACATAACTTCGAAAAATGTAAGGAATTCTACAAACAGACCATTTATCAAGAAAGCTTAGTCACGTGACTAAAAACATTAATATAATTGTGACTTCATATTCACCTTCACCATACAATCCCATACCTATCAAGGTGTGCCTATACACAGCATCGTGCTGTGCTGTGAGGAATGACAGATATGGGGTCAGACGACCATGAAAAACAATTCATGCGGAACGGTGTAATCGTTTAATGGTAACCTCTAAGTATAAACCATCTCCGCTAATTCTATGAAGCTGGGGCGTAGCTGAATTTCTAATTCTGATCCGTAACAACCTTCTCCCGAAACCTACTCGTTCAAATCTACCAGTTTGTAGCACCGCTGGTTACTTTCATTAGATTGGTCGACTGTGTCCGGTTCTACGTATCCAAATAAATGACAACATACCTTAAGTGATGTGCTCATACCGAATCCCACAGACTCTGAATGATCAACCCGAGTCGTTTTTCCCAGTAGCATTCTGCTTGATTATCACATTCCATTAAATCGGGGTCGTTCTTTTACAGTGAACTAACGAACCAACTGGGTCATTTTTCCGCTTCAGACACCAAAGCAAACAAGTTTACGTTTTTTTCAAATAGAAACAATAAGCTGTAAAATTAAGTAAGATGTTGATCATTTGATTTGAGCGTGAATTCGGAGATAAATTAGACCAAGAAAAAGTAGTGAAAGATGATAGCGTAAAACATTGCTGTTCGATAAAGCAAATACAAACAATTCGACTGTTTCGAAACCCCTGGCGAATTCGCAAGCCCCCTAAGAATGAATCTGACGACTGCAGAACGATTGGCGACAGAAAGGAACAACACAAATCAAGTTATATGATTGTATCACAAACGATTTTGTAGGACAGAGAGAGATAAATCACTATACGATCGGTTTAATCTTACCGTTTCACGCCTTCATGGTTTTCAATTTTGGCAATAATTTTGATATGTTTGCCAGCTTCGCCAAGCAATTCACGAATTTCTAGCACTGCATTCGCATTGCGAATGAACGAGGCAAATATGATGTCGAGCTGAAGAGAAAACATTGCAAACGATGGATAACTCTATGCACTTTGCAAACTAAATAGAAAACATTATAGTCAAGCCGTCTGCAAATGTACCTGAATCAAGCAGGAATTACAAAATGAAACAAGAGTGACGTAAACGAAATTATCAGTGAGGGATTCTCGTGAGGTAGGCGATAGATGAAGGGTAACTGGGGAAACGATCTTGAGTTTTAAAAGAACTATGGAAAATAATCACTCACAAGACTTGCATGGTGTATTGTACAATGGGGATGGATGACAGCCTACCGGTAGACGACACTGCACTTGAACGTGGTGTGATGGCACATCTCTAACCCAACGAGCTACACTGGATGGCTTTTGTCAAGTCGAAGATCTAATCATGCCGAAGGGTTGAGGTCAGACGAAGTCCAGTCTCCCGGTTCTCAAGGTTGGGTGTTCGACTAGAATTTGCGCTTCAGTCGGTAAAAGATAGTGGAGGAGCAATTGATCCAGACAAACGGGCCTCCAATTCGCATGACCTGTTGGCTTGAGACTAGGTTCTTGTCAGAACTAAAGGCTTTGGTTGAGAACCCTAATCGTTCTCCTGCTTAGTGGATAAACAGTAGTACCCGTCCATCAAACTCTCAATGAACAGACAAAATATAAATAATGCCTACTGGTATTGTGATTTCAAACTGAACGATGTCCTCATAGGACGAGATGGTACAGATAGAACTGCGATCGACACTGGAAGAAAATAATAGGCGCTTTTAACTGAAAACATCAGTTGCATGCCATCAGGTACGGACATCTGCGAGCCAAAATAGAACAGATAATGCATGGATAGAACCAAGATTACCTAATCCCTGCAGTGATACTCATTTCTACTACAACCTTCGGCTGGTGATAAAACGTTTGCGAACGATATGCCAAGCTCGGCAAACAAGCGAAAACAAGTTCAGCCTCTCCTTCCCGACCCGATCCGAGCTACGCAGACCGATTTTCAATAACTTCGCATACCAAAAACGAATAGACTTCTCAATAGATAAACACGAGTATGTCACAACTGAGATACTGAGCAAGAAAGGAAGCTTAAATCGGGTGGTGGTTTGTCTGTTCAAGTGAATTTTAGCTGAGAAAGATTGAACCCGACCGCAACTAACCTCGTTCGTTTGGGCAAAACGAGTCGTGGCAGGATGACGTGTTAAACCTACTCTCGTGATGAAGCTCAAATGAACCGATGCATACGAGATCCCAACCGAGTCACTCAGTGATGCAGTCAGCGGAGCTCTATTAAGACTGCTCTAGGACAACCANACATCATCATCAACTCGCGGCCATCTGTGAATAAGACGGGTTCAGGCTCCCCGAATAAGAGGTCGCTGACGATCAGCGGCAGCGCTTGAGTATGTAGTGGGTTTACACCCTAGCAGAGGTCCTCTGTACAAAACACCACACATACTCGTGGACAGCACCGCGATGCGGCGAGTATGGCCCTCCGTTAAACATGGCCACTGTCACTTATCGAGATCCATTGTTCGACAAGGTTATTCAGAAGAGGCCACTTCACAACCACTGATGATGTCACCTCGGCTGGTGATGGAACGTTTGCAAACAAATTGCCAAGCGTGGCGAACAGGAAAAATAGAAAGAGGTAAATAAACCAAAAACCGGCCACCAACTCATCTGGAACATCAATGCTGCCTTGCAGTTCGCGTTTGGTTGCACAAAAGCTAGAGTGCACCTTTGAATAAGGCGTACTCTAGGCTAGGCGACCGAGTAGTACAATAGACCAAAACACATACGACTATGAACCTTGCTGCTCTTATGACTCGGCACTCTAAAGCTTCCCTATCCAGCGATAACATACACACCTTCAAATTTCCCCAGCCTTCCGTCATTTCACTTTTAGCTCCCCCCCCCCTTGCCTCACACACCCTATCTCCTATTATTATTATTGTTGTGGCGTTAGCGCCATGTAAGAGGTCACATGGTCACTCTTGCACAGGTTTATTCTTCATTGAAAGGGGAATTCGTGCATTGTTGGTAAATTATTTCACGGAACCTACCAATTCACCTTGGTGTGCATAAGCTCGTGTGATTACAAAGGGGAGACATCAGAAGAGAGTGGGTATCGATTATACCAAAAACAATGGATTTATTTATCTTGAAGCATTCCTTTGTCAAATGCGGAGGAACTTGTGAAAGTGTTTAATTACTCGTGCTTCCGCAACTTGTAACTTCCAAGTGATCATCACTGGATTATTATAAGCATGGGGGAAAACGCCCTACAGCTTTCGAAGTGTGCGGTAAGCTATACCAATTCCACCACCTTCAACGTGGACTTATCAGAGGAGTGGCTTGCTTCCGGCGTGATAAACAGTATTGTCTGAGACGGTTTGCGAAACACATTTTCCTACGTTCAGCAACGTCGAACGCGTCGCGCCATTCTCACCAACAGAAAATTGGATCTGATGCGCATAGTTTTGTGTGGTATCCTCAGACCTAGCGGGGCCTTATACGATTCGCCAATCCAAGTCCCGGGACTTCCGTTGCCGGTTACCATCACTGAACAGCAGGGGTTCCATCTTGTCTGCGGTTCATCACAAACCGGTGTAATGAAAAAATCCTCCGACTCAGGAGTATCACACATCAATACTTTCTTATTTTGGCTGGGTGTCGCAACCCGTGGCGTTTGTGCATCTTCTCAATCTCTTTGCAACCTTAGACCACTGAACTTCTCCATCTTTTTCGACTCCACTTTCAAGTTTCCTTTCTTCTCCTATTCTTCATCCAAATGGGCAGCCAAAGACAAACGAATAGGCGTGGTTAATGGTTGTTCAAACTGAAATTGAAACTTATTTTAGCTAGACCTAAGTAAATTATTTTCATAAGATATCATAAGGATAATAACGCACCAAAGTGAGGTACCAATAGGAAAACCCATTGCGCTATCTTCGACAGAGAAGCACTGGGTCACAAAAAGTGTATGTGGATGCGAACAAGAGTTTTCAGTTTCAGTTTGTACAACCACTAACCATTGATTTTCGTGCTGTCTTTTGGCTGCCCATTTAGATGATCAGTAGGAGAACAGGAAGGTTGAAGGTAGGATAAAAGAGAAAATTTAGAATTTCATTGCACTGATGTTGCAGAGAAATTGACAAGACGAACGAACGCCACTGTATACAACACTCAGCCATANCAGCCATATTACTCAGTGTCTCTAACCATCGGTTACGATCATCCCGAGGTCCCCATTCAGGGAGCCTAATAAGACCTATCTGACTCAATCCCCTGGTTAAGGTTTTCCCACCCTAACGCCAGGTCTTAGCTTGACCACCCTGGGCTTTATTCCATTCACTAACTACCTCGGCGAACATGGCTCACCGTGGCCACCTATTTGGTGACATGCGTAACACATGCTCCAACCAACGGAGGTTGATCACCTGCTCCAGTGGGCGACCACGGTTACCTAAAACTCTGTCTAACCTCAGCATTGATCGTCCGGCTGCCCCACCAGATTCGTGCAATGCTGCGTAGACAGCGGTGTTCAAACACCGACAGACTATTTTTATCCTGTTTTCTTAATGGCCAAGTTCTTGCACCGTATAGCAGAACAGGCCGAACTGCCGCAGCATACACTCGACCTTTCACAGACAGCCGGATGTCGGGACGGCGCCACAGATGTCTCAAGTTGACAAATGCCGATCGAGCCTTCAGTATGCGAGCTGACACTTCATCCGTGATGCGAAGAATGGAATCACGGTGGGCACAGATGTTACCAGGCTGGATAACAAAGAGAAAAGCTGTGGCTTTGTCATGACTCTGGGGCCGGGGATAAAACGAGGAACAGATGAGCCATTTAAAGATATGTTAGGTTCATTTCAATGCACTTCCAATTCGGGTTATGAGAATAGTCTGGACATTAAGTGTAACCCCATCAAAACGACACGATAAGACTGAATAATGTGAGGAAACCTGTGGTGCTCACATTGAGTGCACTCACCAGAAACCACAAAAACGCAATAACTATGGGCTCGCGTGAAAAGTGATTGATAATAACGGGACTCACATTGTGCTCCACGGCGAAACGCAAGTCTTCCTTGTCTTTTTCCGATACAGCTGGCAAATCCACAATCGCACCAGGAAGATTGACTCCCTTGCGTGAACCCAGTTTGCCACCATTCTCCACCTCACAGTCAAGATAGTCGGGACCTAGGTTTAGAAGGCACAAAATAAATGTCAAGCGAACAGAGTTTGGATCCGTAGCATTTCTATACGTACCTCATTCAAAAACTGATATCCAGGCTATGACAGACGTATATAAGGATGAATACACAGAGGAAGAACACACTGGATAGTGCTTCAGGTTTTGGTAGAAAGATAAATGAACGGAACCCATGTTGTCTGCAAGTAAATAGCATGGCCTAACTGCATATATTCTTGAGTTCGAACTAGTGGGCAACCAAAACCGGCGCACGAAAGTGCATGGTTAATCGTTGTAAGAACTGAACTGAGTGGGATGTTTTGAATGGAGATCAATGCCCCCTGATACATACATTTTAAAACACTCATCAAAATACTTGGCTCATTTTAAATTCAGGATGGGTGGACAAGCTTGATTGAAAGAGTATAAACACAATTCTGACTGGAATTCTATGTTATTTTGAATGATTCTAATCATATGACGCAGTTTCGGTTTTGATTTCGCCCGTGAATGATCTATTTGTTCCGGTATTTGATATAGGAGAACGAATACGTTCCAAAGTTGTGAATGCTGTGAATCGGCCATTTTATCGATTTACAAGAAAGGTGACAGACCCTCATGTGAAAAAGACTGAGGAATTAGTTCAATCTACATTGCTTCTCGCTGGTATCACACTCCATCGATTGTCTGTTGCAAGTGAACAGCGCACACGTGAGAATTCGGCTCGTTTTAGACCTGGTCGAGGTTGTTGTTTACTGTTCACCAAATTCCGGAGCACCGATACTCTTTTCGTAGACCCACTATATCTGTCTTCTTTGATCTAAAAGCGGCCTTCGACACAGTCGACCGCCCTGGACTATGGCGCTGCCGTTTCCGAAGGGTGTACCGAAAAGTTCGTTTCAATGTTACGATCCGCTTATACTAATAGCCGAAGTCAAGTCCGAGATAACGGCACTTTTTCGCCTGATTTCACTACAGGAGTTGGTGTTCGTCAGGGTTGCCTTGTCTCCTCTTTTCTATTTACCTTTGTTATAGATTTGATTGTGGAAACAGCTATTTCCTCGTGTGGGGTTAGTGGCATCGAATTTCTTCCTGGTGGTAGACTATGATCTGGTACGCAGACGAAATTGTATATTTTACAAAGTCCCACGGAGCACATAGTGATAACACAAATTGTATTGCTAAGTCAAGATTCAGGTAAGTTGCAAGCTTTTCCGGATAGGTTGATTGTTAGCTTAGCCACGTCCGGTATGTGTCCTGCACCTTCAAAGTGTAAAATGTTGGTCCAGTACCCAGCCTCACCCTAAATGGAGAAGTAATAAAGCGAGTGAACAAGTTGTTATTCGGGCTGAGATATCTCATTTGGTGGAGACATCACGGATGAAGTGCCAGCTCGCATATAGAAGGCTCGACTGGCGTTTGCCAACCTGAGACATTTGGGGCACCACCGCAACATCAGGCTGTCCGTGAAAGGTTGAGTGTACGCTGTAGCAGTTCAGTTAGTGCTTGTATACACCGCAGAAGCTTGGTTATTACGAAAACAGGATAAAAATGGACTGCTAGTGTGTGAATACCGCTGTCTACGCAGCACTGCACGAATCTGGTGGGGCAGCCAGAGGATCAATGCTGAGGTTAGGCGCAGAGTTTTAGGTAACCGGGGTCGCCCACTAGAGCAAGTGGTCGACCTCCATAGATTACTTTGGTTGGGACATATGTTGCGCGTGTCATCAAATAGGTTGCCACGGCGCGCGATGTGTGCTGAGGCAAGCAGCGGATGGAAAAAAGTCAGAATAAGACCTGGCATAAGGGTGTGGAAACTCTAGCCAGGAGAATGAGTCAGAGAGGTCCCGTTAGGCTTCCTGGATAGGAACCCTGATATCATCGTAACCGATGGTTAGAGACAATGAGTCGTACAGCGTAATACAATGGGACGAACATCACTGATCGCCGCCAAACTCACAATGCAAACAAGGTTAGTGGTAAAATTTAAGGACCTACTTTGAGGGAGGTGAGCCACTATGGTCAACACAGAATACGCAGTTGAACTATGCATAAACACCGTTTCAAGCGTTCTGGCCTGATAAGAGCTGAAAACAAGAATGCCACTGCCGTCGGTTCGCTGTCATATCCTTCAATGTCTCCTACCAACGAGTTAGTCCTTCGGACCCCAACCTGGAAGGCGAGAGACAACCACTCTACCTAATGGCTCTGTGCATTTCTGAGTGATATGGCTGTGTCGCAAACAGTGACGGTTGTGCATCGTTTCAATTTCTCTGTAACGTTAATCTACCGAAATTCACCATTTGCTCTTCGACTCTACTTTCAACTTTTTGACTTTTCTCCCACTGTTCATCCAAATGGGTAGCCAAAAAACAGCAAGCGAAATCGGTACACGAAAGTGTTTGGTTAATAGTTGTACAAACTGAAATTGTTATTTCAGTCCATCAATTAAGTTTTGCTAGTGGTGGACACCACGACGTAGCAAACTTTAACAAACCCTTCTTTGGATGAGTGAACTCAAAATGAATGTATATTTCACAATCAGATTCAGCCTAAGTGAAAAGGAAGACATTGACTACAAGCGGGATGAACAGTTTGGACTGTTACTTGTATGACCTTTATGAACGCAACCATCGAATGCTGACTGCAATGTGGGTCGATGAAGCATCGTTCTTGCTCCCAGGAAATACTCCCATGTTGAGTGTTTGTCAAGGTATTTTCTGACGAAGTCCTGCTGATTAACCACTTTCATGGTGAGGACGCTGTTTGATGAAGGCACAGATCCAGTATCCAGGGTTACGAGAGATGGAAAACCATGATTCTTAACCTCCCAAGCGGCATACAAACCTGACTCATTGACATCGTTGTCGAGATGATCTGTGGATCGATAGGGCATGCTGGGTATCCTGGACATATGAACTATGTCGAGGATATACAATCCGACAGATTGATTAAGATGACTTGGTGGTACTCCATTCAGTATTAAACAATGGACCTTGTTCCTGTTACAATATCTTTTTACACACTTCGTTTAGCACGCTGTCTGAACTCAGACAGGAGTGAAACAACCTGTCGACCCTGCAATCGTGGATAAAACTGTCGACTAGCTATCTAGGTTTCC